ACACCGTAATGTTACGAAGTACTACGCCGTAAACTTTCGCATAGTTTACATTCCATAATATTATGTAGTACTACGTCATAATGTTACGGAATATTATGAATATACAATTTACATAATCTTACGGCGGCCTCGTAAGTTTTCGTAATATTACAGAATATAAGTTTATGCAATATTACGCCCTATTAAATTTACTGATGATAGATTTAAAGAAAAATGAATTATTTTATGAGTAAAGATAAGTTTTAGAGATAAATGTTATTGATTTATTAGAGAATTGTAGTGATTCTGCCCTTTTATCAAGGCAGGCAGAATACAAGATATATATATAAATATATCAATAGTAAATAGATATTAGAGAAATATAAGAAATGTAATAAATATAAGAAATTAAATATATTATAGAAATGTGAGAAATTAGAGATCGCTAAGATATTAAGATATTATAGGAATGAGAGAAATTAGAGAAATGATAGAAATTAGAGAAATTAGAGAAAGTTAAGATCCGTGATCGTCAGGATCATCATTCACTAATTTGTAATTGGTGCAGTCATAACTAGATTATCACTAACACCATCTTACTGCGAATTGATTATATAATAATCAAACGAATTCGAGTTTTCTGCAAAGTAATAAGGTAATGTTTTATAAAAAATTCTCCCTGAAGCAAATTTTAAGGATAATGAGTTTATTCCTGCTTTAGAAATTATATTAAGGCTTTGTACGAAAATACAAAAATTCAATAAAAGACAGTATAGTTAGTTTATCATAAATTTTGCAGGAGAGGAGGTACTGTCTGGTGAAATTGTTTCTCACGATTTATTGCGAAAAGGTGGAACATTTTAAGTACGAAACTTGAGCACTGGTAACCGCGAAATACCACAACTCCAAGGGCTAAAACAAAATGTGGAATATAATTATGAAGCTTTTACGCAAAAATATAATGGATGTCATTGTTTATATCACAAAAAAAAAAAAAATATTATTAAGGTAACATTGGTTTTTATTAGCTTTGTATTTATAAGTTATTGTGCTTTGCAACGATTAATATCAAAATTATTGTCAATTGTGATGAATCTTACTGATCGACATTATGAATAGCATAAATGAAACCAATTATCAAGAATATATCCTGATGGTGCAGTAAATTTACATTTTGGTCGAGTTGTAGAGGATAGCAATGTTTTTGGCGAGTATTTTAATAATTATGATAATGAAAACTAAAAATATTTCAATAAAATAAAATAATCTAATAATAATTATAATTTAACAATTAACGTTTAGGGAATGATTATATTACCTAATATTTTAGGGAATGGGGGGGGTAATCAAAAACGATTAACATAACTAAATCGGGCAACTAATAAAGCAACATAATACAATACGACTCGTATAGAAAAAAATTTTTACTTCTTAAATTAATCATTTTTCGTACCCAAAAATAGGTATCAATGATCAGATAAAAAAGATCCAAATTTTGAAGCATGTTACCATTTTTTAACAAACCATTTATTTATTCGTATCGAGTTTTGTGTCAATGGAAATTTCGGGTTACACAAGGAAATGGACTTTTATTCCAAATTCGATTTTCATTTTATTTTATTTTTGATGCACAAAAAGAAAAATCTTAGGAACAGGTGCATATCTTTCAAAAAAATTTCAAATGAACATCTTCTTTCGGTAAAAAAAAAAAAATTTCAAAACTTTATATAAACAGCACCTATTTCCTCAGTTCTATTTAATCGAACTAATTTTATTAAATACAAAAAATAACAAAGTAGTATCAAAATGGTGGAAAGTTACAAATGTCAACACTTACTTTTTACTAGTGGTTCATTACTGTCGATTAAGGATGATATCGTAAACCTTGAAAAACGAAACTCATGCTCTAATTCTAAAAGAAACATATTGTATAAAGAAACGAAGAAGTATGTACAATCGCCGAATCGATTTTCAATACCCTTTGCTCAGGATGAATGTGGTGAGACCGCAAGAATATTCAGCCGAGAATTATATTTGTTTTCAAATTCTTGTAGTTAAAATCATCATAGGTGGCGCATTTATTTCATAACGCCACACATGTGATATATAGGGGTATGTTACGAATAGGTTTTCCTAACTCTAAAAAAACTGTCGCTGAAATACTTATAAAAAGTGAAAGCATCATCAACCTGACACATGCTTAAATCAACGTCGTAATGCGATGGCTGTTAAAAAGAGTAATGACATTAAAGCAAAAGCGAGTGTTAAATTCCTAGTACATTGATTTCAAAAAGATGGATAAATTACATTAGATCTTTTCTATATAAGGCATTCTTTCAATGAAAGATTGATACAAAAAAATCAATTCTATAGGAAAAGATTAAAATTTCTAATACCTTACGTTTCCTAGTTTAATTTCATAGAAAAGATTCTACATTAGTCATTCTTTCAATGAAAAATATCTCGATAAAAAAAAATTCATTCACCAATTTAATATTTTCTAATACCTTACTCTTTCCTTAATAGATACTGTACATTTCATAGATAAAATTCTAGATTAGGCATTTTAATGAAGAGATTCAAAAAAACCGAAATAAATCAATTTAGTAATATAAGAAAAGAAAAAAAATTCTAGTACCTTAAATTTCCTAATTGATTTCAACAAAGGTGGGATATATTTCATAGCAATGAAGCCCAATCAAAAAAAAAAAAAAAATTCAGTTATATAAGAAAAGAACAAAATTTCTATTACCTTACATTTCTTATATAAGTTTAATAATTCTATATTAGGTACTCATTCAATGTCATAAATATTAAAAATGCTAATAGCTTGAGATTGAATAAATTAAGCTAAAATTCGTGATTTTTTACCTTATATTTTATCCATTTAAAAAAAACCATACTCGATACGTTAAAAAAAAAAAAATACTCGTTCCGTTAAAAAAAACCGTTAACAAAAATGTCAAAAGTAAAAAGAACAATACCGTTATCAAAATTAAAATACGTCTTAGACGATAAAAGCCCGAATATCTTCGTTCTTGACCTTCAAACGAAATTGTTTTTGAATATCAAAATTTCCTCTCCCGAGGAAATTATGCGTCGTGAATATAAGTACTTAAAAAATGGATACATGATCTTTATGATCAATAGTCGCGAAGCATTCAATGCTGCTGTAAAAACAAATAAAAAACTTCGTCAAATTGCTGATTTTAAGAATCCCCCATCACTTTAGCGGAACTCTCCAAAAGAAGTTAAGGCAGTTTACGAAAAGGTTTTTATGAGTTATAAAAAAATAATGCCCAAAATTCATTCTTTTGTTCAATACCTTCCTCAAGATCGTACAAATGAGGAAAATGAGAATGACAACGAACAAATTGAAAATACAGAACAAATTATTTTTCCAACTTGTTCATCTGAAGTATTTCAACAGTTGGAGTCAACCGATTCAACTGGGATCATCAACTTTGGTGAGTGAAAAATATTTAACCATTTTACATGATGTCATCACCTTGCATTGTTTTCAATATACTAAGTTTATTTATTTATCAAAGATCATGGATCGTCTTATTCAACAGAAACATCCATTGATGATTTAGCTACAACAAGTGCAAGTTTACAACAAATCATACCGAATGAATCGTATTATATTCTGCCGGATTGGGAATATTATAATTATTGTCTTTTTTATTTACAATGATATGGTTTGCAATTAAAATTAGGTTACGAGGCATAGTAAATCACATTATTATCTGATGGTGAAATTGAAGAATGATTCTGAATTATTCTTTGATTGGATTTTATTATTATTCTTTTTTTCCTTGTACAATTATAATATATGATATTAGTCATTTTTTTCTTTCATAATACAAATTTATCACATTTGTTTCTAGTAGCTAGTTCAGTTCAAATAATCTAGTCAACCCAAACCTTACATTTATTTACAACTCTATATTTATTAAAAATATAATACTGTAATTAAAATTAGCAATAATTTAAGCCATATAATCAACGTAACCTTGTCACGAGCCGTGTCTTCTGCAGTAAATTTTTTTTTTAAAATTGACGTCCTCAAAAATTGACGTCCTCTCTTAGTTATTCCAGAAACAGAAATCTCACGTTGCTTAAAGAAGCTAGTATTGAAGGATATTGTCTCGCCTCTATGACGTCTCTGAAATTTTAAATCTAAAGGCAAATTTAGAAAAATAACGAATACATTCAAAGCAGGTCATCTATTTGTTATCCGACATTTTCCTATGCGCAAATAAGCAATTTTATTGTTTGTTCCAAAGAACAATAAAATCTAAATCGGGAAACTATTTAAAGACTTTTGTTTTACTTGCAAGAAAAATTATTTCCATTTTGCTTGAAATAACTAAATCGGGCGACCTTGTGTTTTGACTTGCATAGAAAAAAAAATATACTTCTTAATAATAAAAATTGCTATCTCAGC